TTACACTTTGCCAGTGGTGCTTGCGTGGGCTGACACTGCCCTGTGATGCTGCCTCGCCTCTTGCGTGGGCTGACACTGCCCTGTGATGCTGCCTCGCCTCTTGCGTGGGCTGCCACTGCCCTGTGATGCTGCCTCGCCTCTTGCGTGGGCTGCCACTGCCCTGTGATGCTGCCTCGCCTCTTGCGTGGGCTGCCACTGCTCTGTGATGCTGCCTCGCCTCTTGCGTGGGCTGACACTGCCCTGTGATGCTGCCTCGCCTCTTGCGTGGGCTGCCACTGCCCTGTGATGCTGCCTCGCCTCTTGCGTGGGCTGACACTGCCCTGTGATGCTGCCTCGCCTCTTGCGTGGGCTGACACTGCCCTGTGATGCTGCCTCTTCTCTTGCGTGGGCTGACACTGCCCTGTGATGCTGCCTCGCCTCTTGCGGGTGCTGCCACTGCCCTGTGATGCTGCCTCGCCTCTTGCGTGGGCTGACACTGCCCTGTGATGCTGCCTCGCCTCTTGCGTGGGCTGCCACTGCTCTGTGATGCTGCCTCGCCTCTTGCGTGGGCTGACACTGCCCTGTGATGCTGCCTCGCCTCTTGCGTGGGCTGACACTGCCCTGTGATGCTGCCTCTCCTCTTGCGTGGGCTGCCACTGCCTGTGATGCTGCCTCTCCTCTTGCGTGGGCTGACACTGCCCTGTGATGCTGCCTCGCCTCTTGCGTGGGCTGACACTGCCCTGTGATGCTGCCTCTCCTCTTGCGTGGGCTGCCACTGCCCTGTGATGCTGCCTCTCCTCTTGCGGGGGCTGCCACTGCCCTGTGATGCTGCCTCGCCTCTTGCGTGGGCTGCCACTGCCCTGTGATGCTGCCTCTCCTCTTGCGTGGGCTGCCACTGCCCTGTGATGCTGCCTCGCCTCTTGCGTGGGCTGCCACTGCCCTGTGATGCTGCCTCGCCTCTTGCGTGGGCTGCCACTGCTCTGTGATGCTGCCTCGCCTCTTGCGTGGGCTGACACTGCCCTGTGATGCTGCCTCGCCTCTTGCGTGGGCTGCCACTGCCTGTGATGCTGCCTCGCCTCTTGCGTGGGCTGACACTGCCTGTGATGCTGCCTCGCCTCTTGCGTGGGCTGACACTGCCCTGTGATGCTGCCTCTCCTCTTGCGTGGGCTGACACTGCCCTGTGATGCTGCCTCGCCTCTTGCGGGTGCTGCCACTGCCCTGTGATGCTGCCTCGCCTCTTGCGTGGGCTGACACTGCCCTGTGATGCTGCCTCGCCTCTTGCGGGTGCTGCCACTGCCCTGTGATGCTGCCTCGCCTCTTGCGTGGGCTGACACTGCCCTGTGATGCTGCCTCGCCTCTTGCGTGGGCTGCCACTGCTCTGTGATGCTGCCTCTCCTCTTGCGTGGGCTGCCACTGCCCTGTGATGCTGCCTCTCCTCTTGCGGGGGCTGCCACTGCCCTGTGATGCTGCCTCGCCTCTTGCGTGGGCTGCCACTGCCCTGTGATGCTGCCTCTCCTCTTGCGTGGGCTGCCACTGCCCTGTGATGCTGCCTCTCCTCTTGCGTGGGCTGCCACTGCCCTGTGATGCTGCCTCGCCTCTTGCGGGGGCTGCCACTGCCCTGTGATGCTGCCTCGCCTCTTGCGTGGGCTGACACTGCCCTGTGATGCTGCCTCGCCTCTTGCGTGGGCTGACACTGCCCTGTGATGCTGCCTCTCCTCTTGCGTGGGCTGCCACTGCCCTGTGATGCTGCCTCTCCTCTTTAAGGCGACCTGCCTTCATCTCAATACTGATTTGGAAACGGTTGTTGAATTATGGAACAAATGACCGGGTAACATAACAGGCGGGGACGGTTGGGGTGTGTTTCAAGCGTAGGTTATATATATCTATATATATATATATATATATATATATATATATATATATATATATATATATATATATATATATATATATATATATATATATATATAACTCCACCGCCTCGTTGGTAAGAACATTGCAGTAATTCAGTGCATAAAGACCTCACACTAATGTGATGTGTAGCAAGGAGGAAATCAATTGGATCAGTGAGGTAACTCGAACCAGCGACCAGGGTATATACTTCAGTGTTCCGACTCTAATATATAATTATAGACTCTGTCGCTCATTCAGGTGCTTATAGTTTCCACCTGTGTTCTCTTGACTGTGCGCCATACATTACATAATCCCTATCTGCCCCTGTTTTATTTCACTGGTAATTTTGTATGTGGTGATCATGTTTCTCTGAAGGAGTTATAATGTGCTTGCCACCCAGGGCAGTTAACGCCTCCATCCAATCACACTATTGCCACCATAAGCACTTCCAACATAACGATCACTGTAGCTAATTGGAGTAGTGAACCTCTTCCGCACCTCACTCACTTTTACCAGCTAAATGTTGTTGTTGTTAAAGATTCGCTACCTGGAACAAAGTTCAAAGTAGCACGGGCTATGGTGAGCCCGTAGCTACCAGCTAAAGATGTGAAACTCTGGGTGCCTCAGG